TTATAGCCTTTGGCTGAGGTCAATACCTGAATTTATCAACCCGGGAAAAGATATATTAACCGAGGACGCATTCCGAGGTCAATATATCTTTTCTCGGGTTGATAAATCCAGGTATTGACCGAAGTTAAAGGTTTCAATTGTTTTATTATTTTACAAAACAGTAGTGTTAGTAATCTGGGAGAAAAAAAAAGCTTCGGAAGTGGGACGGTGCATTGTTTGGAGACACATCATAATTCTATTTTTAGAAACACCCAGTCCTTCAACAAAAATCACGCGCTCCAAGTCAATATCAGTTTTTATCGGTGGACACTTGATGCACTTCTGGTCAATTACTTGTCGGGAATAATATGAAAAAATAATAAGACCTAAGATTGAACTGAGAAAGGAGAAATTCAGAAAAAAAATTGAATGTTCAATTTTGACTACGTGTTGTCAAATTAAAAAACAACAACAGTAAATACAACAATCCATGAATTGGAAACTATAACTCTCCTAAAAAGAAACAATGTGATGGGTTAACATATCTTCAACATATTATACTGGTTCACCAAATGTTCTGACAAATTGCCTAACTTTTGCTGTATTCCTCCCCTTTAACTACCTAGTTTAGTTAAACAGTCATACTCTACTATGAACCATATCATCCACCATGATAGTATATTGGAATGATTTTGGGTTAATTATGAAATACTTGCATTAACCTGAAGTTATTGAAGTTTATTTTGACATTGGTCATACACATATTATCCTTAAAATGACACATTTACCGCATACCGATTTTTTCGAAATTTCTACTATCGTCAGTCAACATAATGTGCCAAATAATATCCAAAGTATGTTGGTGTACAAAAACCGGAAATATGTATATCACTTTCATAAAGATGCGAAACAACTAAAAATGTACATAACATACTAAACGTTTATGTGTGTGAGACTGCATAACTTTTCTATTTTGCAACATCTAGCTTTATAATTGAGCTCATCATGAGCAGCAGATCTTATTGATGAAAATTTGATCAGTTGCGATAATAAATTGGTGCGACATATTGTTAAATTATCAAACATGACTATAGATCATAAGGTTGTTGGATTTTATTTGGATATAGACGTTGCTACAATTTGACATTTATATGACAAATTTACCGGTTCTCAAATTTTCTGAAATTTTCACTATCGTATCTCAACATAATGCACCAAATAATACTAAAAGATTTTTGGTGTACAAGAACCGGAAATTGGTGTTTTACTACCGTAAAGCAATTGATGTAGCAAAAAAATGTATGAAAATACCAACATTTTTAGAGTTTAAGATTTTATATTTTTTTTATTATGCAATTTTTTGTAACATATTTGAGTTCATAATTTGCAGCAGATCCTACTTTAAATAATATAATATTATTTGATAGCGTAAAACATTGTTTTGATAGTTTTTTGGACAAAAAAGTGAACCCTGTCGTACACCTTTGGAAGGCATCACTAAATAGTTCATAGCACAGGCCCTGGGGACCTTTTTCATTTTTTAAAAATATCTCATGGGTCGTGTCTTAGGGAGCTACAAATATAACCCAGTAATGGTTAAATTGCTTTGTGGGCAAAATTCTTTTGTTCCTGTAACAGGTCCTTTCCACTAAATACTAACATATGTATACGTACACATGGTAACTCTCATTTTCCAGGACAGATGCACGAGATATATCAAGAAGTGTGGTATATAAACTTAACATTACAGCATTCACTGAACTGCTTTATCTATTACACAAACTGGTACTGCCATTGTAAAAATAGAGTAAATTGTGCATACAATGTATATCTATATCTATCCGCCTGTATTCATTTAGTACTGTATGTACAGTATAGTATGTCCATATTGAATAGATATAAGGCAATGAAAATAAAGACATTATACGTTTTACCATTTAATTATTTTATTTTGAACGGTCACTTTTGACAATTCAACTGGTGTCAAGTCCACCTTTGAAGGGATGTTCCAAGTACATGGTAAAGATGTGCAGGTAGACAGTCCCTGTCGATTGGCTGCCTCAACTCTGAACAGCATGGCTGCTATATGGTTGCAGGTTTCACCAAAACTGCAACAAATAAATATCCAGTTTAAATCAATTTGATCTATTTTTTTATCATCCTTCATTAGGATATTTTTAAATCATCACCATCTGAGGGTATATTTAACAATATTGCTAGCTATACATACCTTTATACCAATGCAGAATTGGGTATGTGTGGTGTTATGAGAACATAAACAAATTTTTGTCTGTCATTATACACGTTGTTATTGTTACTTCTTCTATCTGATTGTGACATTACCAATGGATGTCTCAAACTGACGCCAGGAGTTTGAAATAAGTAAAGAATAAATGAGCATAATTATATAACTGCTCTAATATAAAACAAAAATGTGCTTAACTGTTGCTGACAAATTCACAAACAGATGTATATGTACTACGTCCTTAATGAGCTTTATCAATATATATTTGTCAGGAAAAACCATATATAATATACATATTTCTTCCAATTCAGAAATACATCTTTAAAAGATGTGAGTTTTGACTCTTTAAGATTTATGTAGCCACAACTAGCAAAATACAGGGAAAGGGGGGATGGGGATGAATGCTTTTAATATTGTATTTACCCTGCTGTACAGGAGCAGTAGGCTGTCAAAATCTCTCCGGAGGGGTCTGCACACACCCACACATTATATGGGTCATCTTTTGGACTAAAGGAAGGAGAGCACTATCCACAGATTTTTTTCTCTGGTTGTAAATACCTCCTTTAGCCAGCCACATTGGAAATATTTATAAGCGTTACCTATTTTATAGTCATTTAAATGGCGTTGACATTCACTTACAGGTAAGTTTTTCATTAGATTAGATGTGATATCACCGATATAAATAGGTGGCCATGGATTATCAATCCATCCATTATTTACTGCAAGGGGGTCACGGATATCAAATGTTAGTAGATTAGCACAATATTGCTTATGATTAGACTATTTCTTCTTTAGATGTAACAATAGGCATACCCAATTTCCTTGCTGAGAAACATATTCTACTGGTAAACCATTTTTGATAAATATGTCCTTAAACTGTCCATATTCCACAATGTAAAGCTGTCAAGACTTGCTTTAGTGTCGTTTCCTGCCATCCTTTTTTTAATACTGTTGTTTCTCAGGTTAATAGTAGCACCATTAACAGCAGGAAGAAATATGAGTGATTATCTGTATGAACTCCGGGCCAAGTATCTCATCCCAGAGCAGAGGTTGGCTAAATCATCTTAATGTTGGTTTCCTTCGGTTTCCAAAGGGAATATACTTTTATATTACTTACAACGTACCTAATGATAAATACAGTAGTGATATAGCCATTTTTCAAGCCGTGCTACTAAATTATACACACAAGTCCAACAGTACATGTTCATTTGGGTTGCGGAAAAGGTGTTATGTCTGAAAGGGTTAGTTGTTATCCCTCTGATGGCACTGGTTTTCTTTTATGGGAGCCACATGGTCTAAAGCATCTGTAAAAAAAGTCTCTGAACAATTTCCAGGCCTTGTTTATGTCAGGAGCAAGAAAGCAATCTTCCCATTTAGCCTCGGTCCATTTATTTATAAAATTTTCTTTAGAGTAATTCTTAGTTGAACGAATCCTAACATTATTATGCACTACGAGGTCGTTTGCGAGTGCAGAACACAGGTAAGTGATCACTGATGCCAATAGGTAGGATCCCTGATTGACTGATATTTTCACGTGTGTTGCAAAGAATATGATCAATCAGAGACTGTGTGGAGTCGGTTATCCTCGTTGGATTAGATATGATTTGTTCTAGATTAAAAAGTCTCAATAAACTACAGTATGAGGAATATAATGAATTGCATGCTTTTCTGTTTTGGAAGCAAATGTTAAAATCGCCAAGTATGATTATTTCAGAGCCAGATTTTATGTTTTGTAAAGATTGTTCAAATTTATCATAGAAGTCATTTTGGTTGGGTGGCCTATAGCAGGTTCCCAGAGTAACAGGTTTCGTTTTGGAAACAGAAACTTCCACAAAGAGAAATTCGTCGGAATCGTTACTGGTCACATCTACTGGAGTGAAAGCTAAACCGTCTCTGACGTATTTGTTGGATCATCCATCAACACATTGCACATGTACAGTAGTCCTATATATGATATCAGTAGTTCAGGATCATTTGTTGAGTCTGCGGTGGGATATATATATATAATAAAGAGAATTAGCAATTTGGACTAGAACTCAAAGGATTAATTCATGAAAAACGTTAGCTAGGAAGTGACAGAGTCTGTGTTCAAATCGAACAAACATCCTGGCAGCTCATGTCGACATAATTACGAAAACGGCGCAAAAGACAAGGGTACAACGGGACTCGAAATGTACGGCGAATGCCTCATCCCATCACAATAAATCCTTTTGCGTCTCGCAGTTTATATCCAACGATAACAAAGTATCCTACATAATCACTATGAAGTCTGTAATCTCTCCCGAAATCTTTTTAAAACTGTAGATTACCTAAGGTGGCTTTTAAGCACTTTATAAACTTAAATCAACCCAATATTGATATCAAGAGGCTCCTTGTAAAATACGTGAATGAAGAAAAATAGAGTCATCAAAGAAAATCAATTCTTCAATTTTAGACTTAAGATGCAATATTTATTGCTTGAAGGGGAAAATTTGAGCATGATTTCTGAGGGTAATTTATCCAATACCGGTAGTAAAAAGACCTGGATAAAGCCCTGGCACGCATTTACACTCATGACGCCAAAGCCTTGTATCATGATGTTAATTTCCACCGAATCTGAAAAAGGGTAGATTCCCCTGAAACCTAGATTGATTCCCTGCAATGGGCTGTTGAGAATGTAATGATAACATCAGATCTTGTCTTGCATATTCCACCAGTGCTCTTCTCGCAAAAGAGCAAGAGTCCACTCTTAGGTTATACACATTACTAATTACATTTTTCTTCTCGCCTCCTATAGGTTCCGGAGGCATGTACACCAGATGGGGAAGAAGCGAGTGCTCATCCAACTCGTCCGAGCTAGTTTACGAAGGTAAGTTCTTATAACTTCACACCTGGACCTTAATGCCGGCATACTTGTTGCTAAACGACAAAGGTTGTGGTATTGCTACATCAATTTTAATAGTCTTCAACACAGATAAAGCCCCCAAACATTTTGACAAGAACAGGTATAAATAGGGAAAAGTTATATCATTAATGAAAAAACAGCTATGAAAAATCTTGTAACGCAACGAATCTTTAAAATTTGTTCTGTGCGACGGACATCTCGTCAACTAAACTCATTTTTCTGAGGCCTGTTGGTTGTGATTTAATGTAAATGCATTACAAATTGAAAACAATTCACTACTTTGGTACATACAATGTACTGACGACATGCCTGTATGGAAACGACACTTTGAAGATTTGAAAATTAATTTTTCCATTTTTATGCAATGTGTATTTAGAAAACAATCTTTTACAAAGTATTGTTCACGTCTAACATCCAGCCATCATACAACACTTTATTTCAAATATCATTTAGAAAAATAATATTTGAAAAGAGTAAAACAATCGCATGATGATTGTACCACGTATTTAGATAAGATCCAAGTCCGTGATTGTACGTAGAGACCGACAACTATAACTACCGTTGTTACCAAAGACTGATTTTTACATGAAAATGTAAGCCTTGTACATTTACTACACCTGGGGTAGTATCTGTTGAATACGTTTTCAAGCCCAAAAAATCGTTTTAATTTGTCAGATGTTTCCCGTTGACGTGCAAGACGCTCGAAGATGTACATGTGACAAATTATTCAAAAGTCGGGGGGAAAGACGACCGTTGAAAGCCCTAGACCCTCTCATGCGGTCCCCGATAAAAATATAATTATTGTGATGCATGTTAACTGACTTCATCAGCCGATCCCAGCCATCTCACTCAAACAGCATTAATAAGTTTCTTCAAGTTACCGTAACTTAACTATCACAGCTAAGAAAAGCCATTTATTTCAATATTAATCATGGTTACACACACACATTTGGAGCTGTTCGTATCAGTACGACTTGTGTAACATAAACATACAAAGTGGTACATTTAAACACTTACAAGTTCCACATTACTTGAAAATTAGTGAAATGTTTGAAGGTGGCGAAACTGTCTGCACCTTTGAGCGAAAACACGGAAGGCCTGATGACGCCACGAGTATTGCTGCGTGACGTCATTCAGGCGTGATTTCAGTCAAATCTTCTATACTGCTGCTCATCGGCGTTTTGATACGTTTGTATTTGGACAAATTATTAACTGAAACCCTTACTAATGTGACGAATTTGCCTGCACTAACGTTAGATGAAATATGCCTCAATAATAGAATACAGCGTTTGCACTTTTCATGCTATATTGATATCACTTTTACCAATTTTCAACTTTTGTTTCTGGAGTTTATTTTTGACATATTAGGCCCTTCTTGTGTCAAGGTGCCGTTGAAGCCTTAGCAAGCAAACGGACGACGTAGAAAGTGTCAATCACCTGCCTCCAAATCACGTACACGCATGGAGGCACGTTCTTAAATAACCTTAGGCCTAGCTCTTAATAGGATTTTAAACCCTCCCTATAAAACCAAACCAAACATTTTCGAAATTTCAGGGGGTTTACGCCCACTGTGCCGATCGAATAATATTACCAAATCGAAAACACGCATTTAGCTATTTCAGGTGTAAACCACTGATCAATCACTAGGCTGATGCCTGTTCTTTGAAGATTACAGAGGAGGGATTTTCGATGAATAGAACATACTCTGATAGAAATGCTAGGACAGATGCATGTTATATATGCACCTATATTGACTTGTGGTGTTTTGAAAGCTCGTTTTTGTTTCCCTAGGTTATGCCGGGGGTTCCCACTACACAGACCAGGGTGCGGCAGCAGAGTACGTGTGTATGCCCAGAAACCCTGTGTATGAATACACAGATTACCACGACTACGACGGTTACATTTACGGGTCAGAATATGAAAGTACCTTTTTCGGCACAACACGAGTATCGGATGACGTGCCATGCGCTGTGTGTAGATCTTTGAGTCCTTCCGTTCTGATGATCCCGGGAACCAACACTTGTCCCGCCGGTTGGGGGATAGAATATCATGGAATTCTTGCTTCCGGTTACCGTGGACACGCGGCTGCATCTCAGTACGTCTGTTTGGACAAAAATCCAGAAGCTCTACCACACGGAATTCGAAAGGAAGACGGGAAGCTTTTCTATCGCGTTCGCAGTAAATGCGGTAGTCTCCCTTGTCCTCCGTACATTGACGGTAGTATTTTGTCATGTGTCGTCTGTTCGAAATAAAAGAAATGGTCTCTAGAATTTCGTTTTACTTGAACAAATACTATGACGTAGACGTAACTTCAGACGTTGATGCACAATCGTGTAACACAACTTTGACATCATTTCGTTTCAGATGTGACGTTTGTAAAGTGCGACTGGGTTTGTGAATTCAAAGCTATCGGTATGTAAATAAGCATATGTAAAGCCAATGTATTTGACAATTATATGGTCACAATTTGAAGATGACAAGAGAATCCGATTATGACCAAAGTAGAACGTGAAGATAGCAAAAGTCTAGTTAGAACACTGTTAAGCATGATATAAAGCACAAATTGATTAAGTTCGTAAAATTACATGCATGTACCAAAGTAATCCGGAAGTGTTTCACTTCATTGAAACCCGGGAGAGAAAGTGCGCTCAAATTATCCTAAAATTGTATTGCATTATGATATATCACCCCTGCGGGGAATCGAGAAAAGAATACACTGCATGTGTCGCAAGAGGCTCCTAATGTGGGCCCCATCCCCCCCCCCCTACTCCTTCTTAACGCTCAGCAATTTAGGAGTGGGGTCCTGACTGTTTCGCCCGTTGTCCGTATAATGTGACTGGGTGGGGTTCCTGCTGGGTGTCATCGGCATTATGCTTAAGTGAGGTAGCACTATAATCAGAAAAGCCGTTCATGTCAAAACCGAGATAAACTAACGCGTTAGCATTTAACTCATTAAAACAGCATTTAACGCGTTAAACAACAATTCAAAGTGTTATAAATGCTATCACGTTACATGTAAACTGTTCTCGTGTTAAATAATCAAAACTATTTTAACTCGATAAACAGCTTCCCAAGTTTAACGCGGTAAATGTTGTACTTACTGTTTTAACGCCTAAAAGTGTCATAAATGTAAGGGCCAATCAAAATTGCTGTTACACACTTTGCCATTCTGGTGGGCTTAAAATGTAATTAATGTATAGTACAAAACATCTTAATTTGTGAATATACGCAAAAAATTATATATATAAAACTATTCCGATTGAATTACAGTATCCTTATATAAAATTCACAATTTTCATATAGTGTGCACAGCTACTCATGGTGAGAAATACCAATTAAGCATGCAATAATTACTTATTTTCACAATTCGTTAACTACAAAACAAAATCCCAAATTTCCCCATGGCAAACAATTCACAGTTGATTACTGGTGGTTTATAAATTGGAGACAGTAAATGTTAACGACTTTACTAATCAAGCCGTTGCTAAGCCTTTAATTCCTCTTGTAAGCTCAAATTACTCTGTCAATGAGAAATTTTCAACTGGATGGCCCAAACAAACTCAAAATGATTTCAGCTCATTAATTTAATATATGTTCAACTTGAACCGTCTCTCTGAAACACACTTCCAGGGGATAAAATGCAGAAAATAAAGAAACAGATTAAAATATATATAGTACAAAATACTCTAGGAATATCAATAAATATTTTAATGCATGATACTGTGAATTCCTTTATTTACGTGGTTACCAAATCAACTTGAAGATTCAATGCGGCATTTTCATATATTTCATACATTTTCAACTTAATTTTACCAAAACCTCGCCCAGAAACCGTACATTCAACAAATACAGCCTGGATTTTTTTATAAATGATCAAGTTTAAAGAAAGGGATAAATCAAATATACAAGTGGACACAAATGGGTGGCAGCCGAAACTCTGTGAAGTAAACAGTATGGTCAAATCCTCCTGGTGGCACTATGGCATCACTATAAAGTGCTAGTGAGGTAGCACTATAAAGTCGGCATCAGTTCCGTGCTATCACAAGGAGACAAACACGAACATATCGCAGACACCCAAAACACACGCATATATCTTACAGGGGAGGCCGTCCTTAAATGACCATAGCTCTTGATAGGACACAATACTAAACTAAACCAAACCAAATACATACTGCTGACACAGCAAATATAATGGTAACTCTGCCTCGCAAAAACTTGAATTCAATGTGTCCACCTGGTCAAAATAAAGGCCTTCTACCACCTCCGTTCCAGTCTTAAAAGAATTCCCTCAATCATCTTCAGTGCACCTCTGAAGGTCGGGGATCGAGAAAAAGTACACCAGCTTTGACCCAACAAATTGTATCGTAAGAGGCGACTACAGAGTGATCCCCTGCAGAACTGGGGATTTGCAAAACGACTGATAGGAATCTGCTTCACCCATTGCAATAATTTGGATCTTGGTATTCTATCTACTTCTAACAACCTTTTAGTTCCTGTCGCCTTGCTTGGTAACACCTCCCCTTAGGGTTTAATGATGAACGTTATCTGTATTTGCTATTAACAGCTAAGATCATTTAAGGACGTGCCTGGGTTCAGTCCTTGAAAATGGTAGTTATTCCCTGCTTAACGTTAAGCATTATATTTCGGTGATATAGCAATATTAAGTCGGCATCTGATCCGCGCTATCACAAGGAGGCAATTACACGATCATACACTGTCTCCAGCACACATGCACGCATACATAACACACACGGAGGCACGTCTTTAAATGACCTTAGCTGTTAATAGCACGTTAAACAAAAGGTGCGAGGAAAGAAAAGTAGTTAGATGTAAAGAGAAATATAAAGATCCGAAATAATGCATTTGGTGCAGCAGGTTTATTTGTGTGGCAAGAAAACAACAAAAGCATAATCCCAATTCAGGGGTTCCACGTTAGTCGCCTCTTACCAAAATGTGGGTATATTTTCTCGATCCCCGACCTGTTGTGGTTATTAACGTGCAAACATACAGTCTGAAACTTTTGAAGCCACAGGCATATTGTAAAGTTTTTCATCTCTTTTCAGTGATGTTAAGTTTACTATATAATTCATTTCAGTTGCATTTAAATTGAGCAAAATTCCTTTTAGAATGAAACTGAAATGAATAGCATGCAAAATCGATTGACCTGCATTTTTAGCATTTGATACGTCATTTGTTTCTTCATAACAGTAAAAAAATGAATCGCAAGAATATGTATGATAACAATCCCTAACCGACCAAGTACAATCGAGTACCCCGGGGCGGAACAAAATATGCCCGTCGAATGACATCTAGTGTTATATACTTTTTTACATTGAAATAAGATCTGCATCATTCTAAGAATGGTAAGCTGACATGCTATAAAAAAATGTAGAAATGTAGAAGAAAAAAAAAGTAGATCTCCGGAAAAATTGTCGAATCCATTTTTTTTTAAGGAAGACACAACTTCATGTCATGATTATAATGTATACCAAGTTTCAAAGAGATCGGTCGAAAAATGTAGGAGGAGATTACCGGAAGTTATTGTTCGATATTAATACTTACTGAAATGATTTCATCTACATAATGCTAAAATAGATGAAGAGAAATTGCTACAGATATATCAATGATGTTGGAAAGTAATTTTTTTTTTAGGAAAATGCAAGTTGGTAAAATTTGTCGGGATAAAAGAATCTATCCGTTAGTCTTTAGAATTACACTATAAAAGTACCAGTAATTGACCAGACTTGTTTCCCTTTGACCAGTAAGTTTGGAACACTATATGGCCTAGGTCTGAAATTGGGCCTAAAATACGACGTTGGGAACATACCTGGCTTAAAAGTAAGCAATAACAATAGATGGGAAATAATTTCCAAATTTAGTGATAACCTACAAATGAGTCAGGGTATTGACTTTGGCTTCGCCCATTCTGTGCCTTTATAGATGTTTAAAGTGAATATATAAACGACGCTGGCAGTTCGGCTGTGAAATAATAAAATAGCAATGATACAACTTCTAGATAGGGAAGATATTGGTTCAGACTGGTCAAATATGGACTTGAGATACAGGATATTTCATTTTGTCACCCTTCTAATATGTTACACTCCTTCTGATTGGATATCTTGCCGGGGTCTATATTTCTTTAGNGGGGGGGGGGGGGGGGGGGGGGGGGGGGGGGGGGCACTAGGGTGCTTATTACTAAGATGGTAACATTGTATGTATTGTCCGATATATTGCCGGAAAGGTGTCCGGTAAGCCGGTAGGGGCTATTTTGGTAGCTGTCAAGTACAACTCAAACTCACAAAGTGACTTATAACTTTTAAGGAGGGGTCTACGAGCCTTCGGCTCGGGGTCTATAAAAACCAGACGGGGTCTATGAGCCCGTAGACCCCTCCTAACCCAGAGATAACTAATAATGAAGATTTGCCAACTTAAAAAGGTGAATTCAACGATAAATGAGCGAACTAAACAGTACAGGCATGGCGGTCACTTGGCTTTCACACTCGCTTGAGTGTCGGTCTGTTAGAAAAGATATAACTAAATCATAGGGACTTTTACAATTATTCCAAGTTGACGTTTGTCTTTCATCTTTTCGTTCGTTCGATGTTTTTCCTTTAACATGTTCTGTCTACTTGTATTGGCCCTAATGACCTCTTATGTGTTGGTGGGTCGTTTAGAATATCATAATAATAATAATATCCTTGGAGTTGATGGTAAGTGCCCTAATACATCTGTAGCAAGGCGATCCAGTAGAGCACATACTGGAATTTATATTATCTCTCTGCACGAGTATTGTAACATGCTACTAATATGTCCCGACCCTCTGAAGAGTGAACGTCTTCTGAAAGACAAGAATTGATCAGCTGTCCCGTTGCAACTCTATACTACAGGATATTTTTCGTTCCATATCTTTCCTTCTTTCCTATTTACTTTTTGTTGCTATTGCTTAGCATCGTTTAAGAGGCGCTAATGTTGGGCCCTTACTACATCGGGGGTTTTCTTCGGTCAATGCCCCTGATTAAATTGTCAAGTCACAGGTACCGAAGCACACATGCATCATTAAAACCATTCAATGTCAAAATCTAAACACGATCGCTCAAAGAGCTTACTTGCTTGGCAATCGAAAAATATACCAAACCCTAGAACTGTATCTAAATGGAAAAAAATCTTGCCGAAAACGATTTGTTTAAAATTTTGTATATATAGTAGCTTCGAAACACTCGTAAATAGGTAAGTTTTTTTCAGGAAGTGCCAGCTGTATAGAC